AAAAAAAAAAAAAAAAAAAAAAAAAAAAAGATGACACTGGGGGAGTCTGGAATGTATACCTCCCACCCCCTGTCATGGTGCCCAGGATTTGAGGGACCAGAGACTCCAGGACGCAAGCAGCAGTCTAACTCAGTTCAGTTCTGAGCCTGGTGCCAGAGAAGAGGAGGTCCAGGAGCGTGCTCCCTTGGGGGTCAGCAGGATGCCCCTGGAGGGGACAGACATCTCTCCAGCTGTGGATGGTCCAAACTCTCCAGAGGAGGCAGGAAGACACCGTCCCTGAGCCCAGCCCTCCACTTGGGCAATGGGTTTGGGGGTGTAAGTTTGTGCGTCTCTTGCCTGGCACTGACCAGCTTCCCCACAGTGGAAAGTAAGAAAGGGATGAGGGGCCCATTATAGTCACGGGGCCTCCCTGGAAGATGAAGTCTGAGTTCAGAGAACAAGGCCCTCAATAAGATCACGGGGTCCACTTCCGTCCCCTGGAGCCAGCAGTCCCTCCAGGCTGGGGAAAATGCCTCTCTCATTCCCAAATGCTCTTTACGTCCTGGGGAAGCCTGAGCGTCCCCAGCCCAGATCCCCAGCACGGGTGGCACAAACTCCCACACTGGATCCACAAGCCCCTGGCAGGCGAACCCAGGCTCTCTCAAAGCAGCAGACCCAGCCTGCAGTCCCACACCCACCACCCACACCAGACGGTCCTTTGCAGATGCACAACTTTGTGCAAAGCATGTGCAGGGAGGGGCAGGGGCGGGAGAGCACATGCGGTTGTCACGGACGCAGAAGCACCACACACTGACCTTGAAACTCCAGTAGTTTGGCTGCTGATGGAAATAAGAGAAGAGATGGTTATGCGGGGGCGCTGGGAGGAGAGAGTAGGGCCAGGGGCAGGTTAGAGACCCTTGGCGCTCAGGACTCAGCCCTGGGACATGGGCCCTCCACCCTCCCAGGAACAGGAAGGAAGCCATGCCTGGTACATCCCATTCTCTACGGAGGCCCAGGATGGCCCTGAGCGGGCTCCAGGCCTGCTGCTGGGGGAGGGGAGAACCATCATTCCAGACGTTTATAAGCCACGTAACCTAGTCACAGTAACTGTCCTCGGAGAGTTACAGGCAGGAAAAGACGCAGATGACCATGATACAGGGAACACGTGAGACACTGGCAGAGCTGAATTGGAGCTGCAGGGTCAGAGAAATGGCATCTGGTTGTGGCTGGCCAGGGAAAACTTCCCGGAAGAGGTGGCGTTTTTGGTGAGTCTTTAAAAAATGAACATTTTTGGTGGGTCTTTAAAAAATGAGCAGCCGGAGGTTGGGAGGAAGAGCCTGCTGAGCAGAGGGCCTGGGGAGGCGTGTGCAGGGGGTGTTGAGGGAACAGTTCAGTTTGGCTGGGGCGCAGGGCCTGGGAAAGTAGCAGGTTAGGCTGCGAAGAAGGGCCTGGGGCCGGAGGAGCGCCCTTAAATGCCAAGCGAAAGAACTGAGACTTAACTGGCTGGACAAGCAGAAAGTATTTGCGTGAAACTGAGTGGGATGGGACTGGACCCCAGGAGGGCTGATGGGGCAGGGAGTGGAAGAGGGAGGCAGGGGGCCAAGCCCAGGGCAGGGAAGCCTGTGTAACACGATGGACCTGGGTTATAGGGAAAGTGGACAGATGCCCATCACCCCACAGCACCGGGCAATGGACGGGGAGCCATGGACAGCAAGGGAGTGTCGGCAATGTTCTGTGGTTGAACAGATGAGAGGGGAGGGCTCCTTGCTCCCCTAGAACGGGGGCCTCAGGTTCCTCCTCATTCACAATAACCTACAGCCACCCTGCGTTCCCTGGAGACCAGAAGGCCCCTCCAGATGGCTAAGGACAAGGGAGGAGTGGCCCGGAGGCCGGATTGGTTCTTGGCAAAGCCGAGGGCACCCTGCTGACCGGTGCCAGCCTCAGCAGGAAGACAGAGGCAGCAGATGGCCTGGCCCTGGGGCGCCTGGCACCAACAGACAAGATTCCCTAGGCCTCAGAGCCACTGGAAGAGGAGACTGACACCAAGGGTCCCTGATGGGGGGAGGACACCACGGCGGGGTGTCCTGTGCCGCCTGAATACTTTAGTGGCAGAAAGGAGGTGGGGAGGGGCCCTGCTGGGCTGGAGGCTTCGGGTCGTTAGGGTGGGGGTGATGCCAGGCTAGGGCTAGGATGAAGAGGTTTACTCACCAGGACCATCCCCTCTGGGCCACAGTCCCCACCTCTCCCCCCAGCATTTGCTCCAAGAGAGGCAGAGGAAGGGGACAGCAAAGTCTGGGTGTCAGGGGATGCCCACAGGTGCTGAGGGGAGGGGATGGGGGGGGACTGGAGTACCAGGCTGTAGCCACAGCTGCCTGTGGCCTTGGGGAGGGGAAGGAGAGCAGAGCGAGTGGACATGTGATGGCAGGGGGTGGGGGGCAGGGCAGGCAGAGCCAGGCAGAGGGCAGGGGAAGGTTTACGATGAGAGTCATGTCTGCAGCCCCAGTGGTGATGGACGGCTCTGCAGAGAAGGCCACCGTCCCTCATCCACCACCACCATCACACCCCCTCATCCACCACCACCATCACACCGTGTACACACAGGCCACCCACAGCGCCCTGCAATGACAGGCCCCACACGGAGAGCTGCGTACAGACGCGCAGACATCCTCCAGTAATGACATCACCACAAACACACCCAGAGCAACAAAGACACGCCCACAAAGGGACACAAACACTTGGAGAAAAGCCCTCCATGGTCAGAAACAACCCCAGAAACAGAAACTCAGAGACAGAGCTATTCAAACGTGGACCAACCCCATTCATACAAAACATGCACCCCCGGCCCGCCCAGGACACTGACCTGTTCACACACACTCCCACAAGCAGAATCACAGAGGGCCCCCTGGCCCCTAGGGAGTCACAGAAACAGACAGAGACATGATGGATACCCATTCACACATACGTACACACATACACGCACACCAGCTGCAGAGACACACACACAGAGAAAGTCTCGCCCCTCCTTCCCCCCACTAGCCAGGTCACGGCGCCTCTGGCCGCCTCGGTCACTGTACCATGCCTGTGATGTCCCAGACATCACGTGGCAGGTAGGTGAACTCCTGATTCAAAAGAAGCAGAAGATGCGCCCCCCGGGCCCCCCCCCGCCCCAAATGTCAACACATCAGACTCAGTATGTGCAGACAGCTGGGGCCCACCTCATGTCTCTGGGAGGGGGACAGGGATGGGGCCTGGTTACAGCCACGCTAGCCATGCCCTCAACCTGGACCTGCCTCAGGCAACGCTGGGCACATCCATGGGGCAGCCAGACCTGGAAAGGAGGGCTCAGTAGCTGGGGCCAGGGGAGAGGACTGGGTGGCATCAGTGCCACAGAACAGGCCAGCCAGGCCCCACTAGCGGGTAAAGGTGGAAGAGATGCTGTTTTTGTGCTTGGTGGACTTGGAGTGAGGCTGAGATCAGAGTCCTGGGGCTTCGGGCGCTGGCTGGTCGAGTACACAGAATCCCGCCCCTCCGTCACCTCCCCCTTCAGGCTGGCCCCACCAGCAGGGAGGCACAGAGTCTCCTGGCAACTCAGTGTCCTTGGAGGGGAAAAACCATAGTAGGGAGAGGTCCTTGGGGATGCCGTCTATCCCCCGTCTCTGTCTCTTTCCAGGGTGTTAAACCCATGGGACAGCCTTGGGTGCCTAAGAGCAGAGGGCTCCTCTGTTTGCTAAGGTAGGACTCTCCTCCAATCTCCAGCACCCTTTACTCCTCACCCTCTTCCTGGTTGTCTGTTCCTCCCATCCTGCCACACACAGTGCCTGGTATAGAGTAGGCTCTCAACAAGTATTTGGCCATGAATGAGTGTCAAGAAAACAGGACCAGCCACAGGTGGAAGGGGGTGTCTCTGCATAGTCTGGTACCACTTTCCATCTCCTGGCACTCAGGACAGCTCAGCCTTCCATGTCTTTTCCCTGGGAATTTCCCAGCACCAGAAACCCCCGGAAGGAGGGCAGAGGGCAGGAAGGGCCCAAGAGAGGTCTGGCTCGCCAACCCAAGTGAAAACCTCCAGTATTAGGGCAAAGCTGTCTCCCTCCCCCATTCTCAGAGAGGGGTGTCTCACCTTCCCAAAAGACAGTGAGACAGTGAAAAAAAGAAAGGGCTGAGTAGGAGAGGCCCTTCCAGGTCATCACTTGTAGGGAAGAGTCTTACAGGAGCTGGAGCAAAATGAGAGGTGTTCTAGGAGGATAAGATGGAAGCCAACCCATCCACTCTGTAGGGACCAGGCTTTCAGAAATGCGAGAAGGGGAGCTTCCTGGAGACCCGAGGAAGCAGCGCCAGGGGGTCCTCAAACTCCCTGCTGAGAAGAGGAAACAGCTTCTTCCCTCTGGGGGCTAAGGAGTTAACTCCCTCCCTCCTCCACCCTAGGCGCCCTTGGTGGGGTTCTTCCCTCCCCCCTGCAGCTGGTCCTTTCTCCCCCACGCAGTGCGCTGGGAGGGCAGGGCCGTGTCCCATGGGAGCCTTAGCCCAGCCAGCTGAGGTCTCTCCCCTCCCCTGGGGAGACGTCCTCTGTAGGTTAGGTGAGTGCGTGACCCCTCCCTGACCTCGAGCCCCGAAGACGATGCATCCTTCGGAGAGGGAGGGCAACCTATGGGTCGCACCCTCGCTCTAGTCCCCTGGCTCTCCGTGCACCGGCGCACACACCCACCTTTCAACTCTTGTGAACACGCGTCCACGTAAACATTCGCCTCCCCCCTCCCTTGCCCCCGCCAGGCTGGGGCTCCTTAACGGCCCCCGAGGGCGCCAGCCTCCCACCGCGACGCACGTGCACTACTCCGGCCCTCTCCCCTGTGTGCCCGTCGACACGGTCACCTCCTACCCCTTCCCAATGCAGTGAGTGTATGTTGGGGAGGGGGGGTTGCGGCGGGGCAAGGGCGCACCCCGGAAAGGTCATGACTTTCTGAGGCTGGGGGAGGGGACGCCAGCCACATTTCGGGGTGGGGGCCGGTCCCCTGCGGAAGGCTGAGAACGAGATGGGGGAGGGGAGGGGGCGTTTCTCAGGGATCCGGAACCGCAACGGCCTGCGAGCCCCCCACCCCCAGACCGTTCTCAGAGTCGTGGGAAGGGCCCCCATCTCCGTGCCCCCGCCCCGCGGAACCCGAGGCGGCTACCCCGGCCCCCGCAGCCGCTCCCCCTTACCTGCGGCCACAGGTGTATACGCGGGGTTCTCAGCCCCAGGTCGCGCGTCGGGCGGGGGAGGGAGGGCAGCCCCCTACTCCCACCCGTCCGGGCTCTCCCCTCCCCCCGGCCGCCTCCGCAGCCCCAGCCGCCGGTGCCCTTTGCTGCAATGAGAGAGGCGCCGCCGCCGCCGCCGAGAGGGCCCGGGCCCCGGTCGCCCCGGTAACCGCGACTCCACCTGGCGCGGCACGGCGCGCCGCCGTGCACATCCTCTCTCTGGCCCCCTCCCTGGCGCGGCCCCGCCGGCGCAGCCCCGCCAAGGAACGGCGGTGGCTGGTGGCTGCGTCGCCGCGGTCACCCGATACGCCGGCCCGCCGCCCGGGACTCGGGTTGCAGCAGGAGGGAGGGAGGTTAGACAGCCTAGTGGAAGCGGGGGAAGGGCTGTGGCTTGGAGTCTGGCCTCCGGTCCCCTCTCAGGGTCTTCTTCAGGCCCCAACCCCCAACGGTCTGGCCTAGGGTGTGTGTGGGCGGTGGGGAAGGAGAGTGGCCTACCTCCCGACCCGCCACTCTCTGAGCTTACAGTCTCTCCCTACCGGAGTCTCGGCTGTGCACCGTTTCCGTTCTAGCTCTCCCGTGACTCAATTCCCAGCCAAGTCTGGGAGGCCTAGGACGCCTAAATTTCCTCCGTGGCCTCTGATCCTGCTCTGCTGTGTGACTCTGGCATTTGCTGAACGTCTCTGGTCCTGCACTTTACAAAAAGGAGCCTCGTACCCAGCCATGGGGAACGGGAAGTGTGATAAGCGCTAAGTATAAAGTGATGACAAGATCCTGGGCACAGCCACTTTTCTCTGTACTTCAAAGCCCTGGTGAAGGGGTGAAGGTCCCTTCAAGCTCTCGACTCTTTCCTCCATCAGAGTAGATTCCAGATGTGGACAGGCCTGGGACCCCATAACCTGGGACATCAGAGCTCACCAAGTCCAGCCTCACTTCCCTCCATCACCCCAACTCGAGTTGCTCCAGCTGCTCTATCCAGGGAGCGCCCGCGTCCTCTGCCTCATCGCCATCCCTGTCCTAGCCCCACTTTGACCTCCACCGCACATGCGGCCACTCAAGAGGAGTCCATCCCACTTGCCATCTAGCCTTGGGCGCAGACACATCTCTGTTCCCTAAGGTCGGTCAGTACAGGGCCAAGAGCTGGGAAAGGAAGTGGGCTGGGTGCCCTGTGAGTGAGGCCAAGCATGCCAATCTCTTGCTAGACTTGAGTTACACACCGCTAAAAGTACCGTGCTCCGGAGCCTTGTTTTTTCCTAGGCTGTCAGGTTTTTCCTTCTCCTAATTCTTCTCGAAAAACTCAAGGCTTGCTGCCCCTCTCCAGGGGGAGCAGGGTACGCAAGGGAGAGAAGATGGCGCCCATGCGACCCACTGGATTCTCCGCCACTACACCTCCTCTGCCACCCTCAAGTCACGGCCCCCTCAGGGCTGCCCCTGACCTGCTGTAACTCTGACTCCCTGGCCCCTCCTCCCCTCTGGGGCTTCAGATGACTGTTTTTCTCCCACAGCAATGTCCAGGCCTGAGCTGGGAGCCTGAGCCCTTAGGATCCTGTCCCAGGGTGCCCCTGTCCATCTTCCCATCAGGGAAACTGAGGCATATGAAGAATCAGGAAATCAGTTCAGAACAAATGGCTAGAGACCAAGGTCCTCTTCACATTTTGAAACTAAGCAGTGGACATAGCAAGAAGTGTGGGAGAGAGATATCATGAAGAACTTCCTGCTGGTGAGACATCAGGGGAAGGTTGGGTCTGCTCAGAGATGGAGGATAGGGTGGGGATAGAGGAACGAGATGGTCCACAGTGGGGGTGGGAATTGGGTACAGGGCACAAGAGATTCCTGAAAACCAGTGGGGTGAGGGGAGAGGTACCCCTGTTTAAGGAGAGAAGGATTTTTTTAAAAAAAGGTTTTTTAACCTGACTATTCCCCCTCAAAAAAATTCCCTCCCCAAAGCCAAACTTTGGCACAGGTTTGGGGAGGTAGCGGTAGGAATTAGACTATCACGGGGAGAGTACGGGGCATAGGAGTCTCCTGAAAATGCGGGCTCCTACGTAAGAGAAAGGGATGCAAAATTAAAATCCTGGATATCCCCCCTCCAAAAACTATCCTCCCCAAAGCCCAAGTCTGCCATGGGTTTGGGGGGTGGGGTGGAGGCGGGTGACTCACCTGGGCCGGCTGGCCAGCCCCGGAGGGGGCGGAGTCGCCATGGAGGTGGGAGCAGAGGGAGCTGAGGAGGCACACGGGGTCCACGGTCCAGCCGCCGACCTGTGTGTGCGAAGCGGGGGACACCCCATTAGGGGGAGCGGGCAGGAGCCGCTGGGGGACTGTGACAGGGTGGGGAGGGCATTCCTGGGGCAAGTCTGGCACAGAGCTCACCCCGCAGGGGGACCCTGCGGCACTGGCTAGTCCCTTACGAGGCTGGGTCTCTATGCGGGGGCCCTGGGCCTGTTGCCGGGTCTTTCTCTCCAGTCAGCCTGGGGGCTCTTTGAGCCCAGGGCAAGGCCTTCCCCAGCGGATACTGCTGAAGTCCTTGTCTTCAATTCTTGACCACCTCTCTGGACACTCTGCAAGGGGGCTGCCCCTCTCCTGTCCCTTCTTCCAGCTCTTCACTGGCCCCTCGTTGAAGCTGTCGGGAACCATTCCGCAGGGGGCCTCAGCCCAGTGTGCCTCTGTCCTGACAGCACTGCTTTCCTCCCCGCCATCTCGCGGAGGTGACTTTCTTCTCCCACATCACACCTAAGGCTTGAAACCCATCCCCTCCTGATTCCTCCGGGACCTCAGCATCCTCAAAGTCATCCGTCTCTCATTAGGTCACCCCACTAACGTACTGAGCCAGGCTTAGGCACCGAGCGTTCGATGTAAGTGAAACAGCCGCGGATCCTACACGCTGACTCCCCAAGGCAGGGAATGAATGAGTGAATGAATAAAGGAATGAATTTGCGAGTGAGGGCCGTGCTTTGACTCACTGACTGAGCACCTACTCTGTGCCAGTGAATGTGCCAGACACACAGGAGGCCCTCAAACATGCCCACGTGCCCTCTTACAGGCCTGCTGCCCCTTGAGGCCGCCACGCCAGCTGTCTTCATATTTTTCTGGCCAAACCTCCCCAGACAGATCTGCAGCCCTGGGGTCCTGTTCCCTCACCACCTCCAACCTCCTCGACCCCTGACACTGGCCGTTACCTCACCACAGCACGAGAAAGGAGCTCTTGATACCCTCCAGACTCACAGATCCTGGCCGGTCCCAATGGCTGTTTCTCTCTCCCATCCCTCCAGACTTCAGAAGTGCAGGGGGCCCTCCTGCTGGGCCTCTGTCCTCTTCCTCAGGGATGCAGGACATTTCTGGTTCCCCCTCCCCATCTGTCATGGGCCCTCTCCCTTCTGAGACTCCATTCTGCCTTGGTGACCAGGCTTACCCTGGGTCCCACTTCCATTTCTGCCCACATCGTGCTCAACCTCCCTTCTGAAGCCGTGGTCCCTTCAGAGTCTTGAGTTGTATATTCAGTGCTTAACAGACTTCTGCGGGAAACCCCTACCCCCTCCTCAAACTCATCTCCCCTATTCCTGTCCCCCACTCCCCCAAACGTTTCCCTCCCATCCCTCTTATTTCCCCCCAAGGCACCAACATGTCCCTGTCACCCAGGTTTTTCTGTCTTTGCCTCCTGGATCCAGGCAGCAAACAAGCCTTGTTCATCTTCCCTCCAACCCCACTCCCACCTCATCCCTTTCCCTTCATCCTCCCTGACACACTCTCTTCCTCGTCTCCTTTCCCTCCCTCCAGCCACTCCCTCTTGTCCCCTCCTATTCACCATCCAAAAACAGCCACGGCCCCCCTAGTCACCACCATCTGGCCCCCACCCCTCTCACTGCCTCCCACCCTGAGCCCTCTGCATCAGCCATTTGGACCTCTATGCCAGTCCTCAAGCCAGCACAGACCTATGCTCACCTCCCATCTCCCTACCTCCTAAAACAGCGTTCTCCTCCTCTATGACTATTCAGACCCTTTTCATCCTTCTAAGCCTAGTTTAGGTATCTCCTCCTCCAGGAAGCCTTCCCTGACCAGGCCGGTCCACCTGATCTCCTCTACTCCAAACCCTCTTCCAACTGACTGTGCCCCTTATACTTAAGTTTAACCATCCTTTCACCCCATCTAGATCACAAAGGTCCCTGTCCCCTCCCCCTAAGCCAGAGCACACAGAAGGAATCCACTGAGAGGGACCCCTGAAGGGGAGGGCCAGATCTCCTTCTGCAACTCTCCCTTATTTTAGTTGGAACTCTGTTCCCGGGAGGACTCCAGAGCTGAGAAAAGGTAAAGGCTGGACAGAACTGGAGGTGACATCAGGGGCAGATAAGGTACCAGAAATGCACCAATGTGTCCTTGTTCCCTACAGTGAGGATGGGGATGGGCACACTCTCCCCCCTCCCCAGCCACACCCAGCAGTACTTGGAAAGGGGGACAGAGCCAGACAGGTGCGAGAGCAGGGACGGATGCCCCCGCAAGGCTTGAATGAAAGGATGCTGATGGGATTAACCACCCTCCCCTCAGCCCTTTCTCCCAGAGTGGACAATGCCTGGGTCTCAACGGCCAACGTGCTGCAGCTGTCAAGGCTCCTACCAAGGTGGGACTGGAAGTAGAAGGCCAATCCCAAGAAAGAATTTTCCTACGAACAAGAAGGGCATACGTGGACGCAGAGATCCAGGAACCCAAGGACCTGGGAGAGCTTTACAAAGGAAGCTCCGCACCCCATAAAGAAGGAGACAGGTCCTGGACCAGAGGCAGGAGCCCTGACTCCCGTCTAAGCCCTACTGATGACAGGAGAGAAACCAAGGCACAGAGAGAGGAGTCCTCTAGCTCAAAGTCACACAGCGAGTCTTGGGGGGAAGGAACGGGGTGGGGGAGGGGGGAGGAGGTAAAAGACCCCAGAAATTCTGGGCTCTGTTCTTGCAGGGCCGGGGCCCAGGAGACCCAGCCTTCTGAAGCTTCCCTTAGGGGCCATATCACAGAGGTGCTGACCCCAAGGTCTCAACTCCACCGCTGGACGGACCCTCAGACTCAGAACACTCAGTCCACGACGAGGCTGTCCCTCTCCCTCCCCACCACGCTCTTGTCTCTCCAAGACAGCCTTCCTCTGCTCAGTCCAACAGCCTGATTAGAGGCTGGGCTCCCTCTGTCCAGTCCCATGCTCCAAATTCCAGGGCTGCAGGCAGAGGTCTGGGTGCTGACCCCCCACCCCCTTCCTCCCCAGGCTCCAGAAAAGGCCAAGCACGGCAACGGGGCATCCGCTTTCCCCCTCTGCCTCAGACGCCTCTCGGCATCAGGACGAGCCCGGCCCCACTCACCTGCTCCCGCATCCTGTCTTGCTGACTCCGCAGGGCTAGGGCATGCTGGGGGTACTTGCTCTTCAGGTGGTCCATGAAGGCATCGCGCTTGCGGTCAGCATCGGCCTTCTGGAGCCCGCTGAGCGCCTCCAGGCTCTGGGCCGCGATCACCGTGTGCCGCCGCTCCGACGTGTGCACCAGCCCCACGTTGGAGAAGCGCCGGCCCCCGCTGCCCCCGCCTCCGCCCCCGCCCCCCAGGGTCCGGTACTCCCGAGGGTACTCGGCATCGTCTGCAGAGAGCATGGGGGGGCTGCTCCGCTCCGGATCTGCAAGGGGGGAGAGGGGGGACGGCAGGGTCACCGTGTGCCGGGCCTGGGACTGCCCATCTCCCACTGGGACCACTGCGAGGAGGGGTTGGCCTAAGGGGGGGGGGCGGCACGAGGCACCTGGGGTGAGGCAGGGGCTGCCTGCCCCCCACTAGGAACAGAAGAGGCAGAAGGGGTGGCTCCAGGGAGGGTGGTGAGCAAGGGCAGTGTCCAGCTTCCTGCCCTCTGCCGGTGGTTTGAAGGATAATGACTGTGGCTGAGGTGCTGTCCTTCGAGGCCAAGGAGGGCTTGGAAGCAGGGGTCCTGGACACCCCTCTAGCCACACATCCCCTTCCTCCTTCCTTACGCTGGGCTGAACAGGGGAGGGAAGGGGAGTTTCCTTTTAGACGCTTCCTAAAAGCTGTGGAAAGGAGCCTGCACTGTCTTTCTCTCAAGAGCATCTTCTAAGGAGTGGGGCAGGGGCTAGCTTCCTCCCTCAGACTAGCATGTCCAGGACACACTTGTCTTTAGGCTGGGGGTTGGCTTGGAAAAGGGTCAGGACTAGGAAACAGGGGGGAAATGAGGCCAAAGATCAGGGCCTGGGACATGGGAGCCCCTTTCCCTTCCCTCCCCAGAGACAGACAGACAGACAGACAGACAGGAGAGGCTGGGCACAGAGAGGACAGTGAGAGATGGACTGGGGACAAACTCAAAGAAAGCAGAGAACAGCTCAAGCTTTCTCGCCGGGACCCTCCCCTCCCCCCTCCCTTTCTTCAGGCTGCCTTCCCAAAACACACACAAGTTCAAGACCTGTAAGGGACGCACAGGGGACAAAGTACAGTACAGAAGCCAAAAAAGGAGAGGCCGGGGGTTGAGGTCTCCATGCAGAACCCTGAAGCCCATCCCCACATACCCATCAGCCTTGAGCCCTTGGGCTCCCCAGGCCCAGCTCTGCTGTGTCCTACCCTCCAGCCTCAACGCTGACCTTCCCAAAGCCCAGCAGGGACAGTGGTTCCACAGTGTCACCCACACCAGGGGTGGGAGGCATTGCTGGGGCTTACCTGAGTCATCTTCCTGGTCGTAAAACAGATTTGCCCTCCCTCATCTCCAGAAGTCACCCCCCTTGAGAGACAAACTTGGTCTCCCCAGCATACCCCCAGCCTCACAATCCACTAGCCTCAAAGCAGCACCCCGAGGTGTAGCCTAGCTCTGGGGGGACTCAAGCACCGTAGCAGACACAGGCACCCCGATGCGGGGCTAACTCACAGGGCCGACCGGGGCAAAAGAGGAGGGGCTGAGGATTCTGTGACCCAGCCACGTTCCATCCAGCCCAGCCCCCGTCAGCCCCCTCCCTCCACACATCCAGTGTTCATCAGGCCCACTGCTGGGCCTCCGTCGCCTCCCGTCCACCACAGGAGGAAAGAGGAGTTTCAGTCACGTTCTAGGAAAAGCCACCCCTCGCCCAACACACTCGCACACTCCTCCCTGGGCTACGGCAGAGGCATGTAGATCTTGGGGACTGACCCCTCGATGACCCAGCACTGCCCACCAAAGCCAAGGGAATGGCTTCCGTGGACACAGAGCTCCAAAGCTTCCAAGGTCCTGACTGATTGCCGTTACCACAGCCTTCAAACCTCCTGTGTGTGTGTGTGTGTGTGTGTGTATGGCGGGGCGGGGGGGAGGCGTATTCCTGTGGCCCTATTTCAGAGAAGGCCAGTGACACACCCAAAGCCACAGTCAGTGGTAGAGGCCAGATTGGACCCCAACATTTATTAGGTTTGCCTCACCCCCTCCCACCACACCTTCCTGGCCAGACGACAATTGTTCATTGATGGAAAAATGGTACCACCTCCTTGTTTGCCTGCTGTCTCCTCACCCTGGCGCTGAGTCTGGGGTCCTTCCCTCCTCCCTCCCGCAGGCAACTGTCCCTCTCACCACAGTCACAACCCTCTGTCGTGCTCCCCGAAGTGAGGTCCAGATACCCAAGAGATGACTGGGGGAGGAATATCGTTTCACAGCTTAATAGTTATACCTTTATTTTCAAGGATTAAAAAGAAAAAAACAAGAAGGCCCAACCACTGATTTCATGGGTACTGTTCCTTGGGATGGTAGTGAGATAAGGTTTCCTTTAAAGTAAATTTATTAAGTTCAAAGTGAGTTAACATATTGAGTTAAGACGGTGAGAAGGTTCCCTCGTAGGGAAGGAATTCCTGAAGCTGGCCCCCGACTGAGGCTGGGCACCCTGGGGCCATCTCGGCGGGGACCCAGTCCTTGCCCTTGAGGAGCTGGTGGTAACCCACGGTGGCCAGTGAATATGGCCGAAAGGGAGTGACCTGATCATCATCTAGAAGAAGAAGAGCTGGAACAGGGGTTGCTCTGGGCACAGGAGAAATAGCCCCAACCGGAGTCAGGGGGCTGCCTCCCATGACCCTTAAACTCTCTCTTCCACTCACCCTCACCACCTGCTGGAGGTCTGCAACCTCATGGGGCACAACTAAGCAGGAGGAGACCCTCGCTGGCCGAGAGCCCTGGACACTCCGTAGTCCTCCCTTTGCCTAGGCTGGGGCAGACTCTGCCCAAGGCCTGGCTGCTGGAAGCCCAGCTCTAGAGCCCAGCATGAGCCCTGCCTGAGCCAGAGGGCCCGCCCCAGTGCCAGCCAGCCAGGCTCGCCGTGCCTCCTAGGGCTCTGGACGCATATAGGTGCACGGGGAAAGGTCTCCAATTCACATCTGCCCTCCTGCCCTTCCACCCTCCTGGACTCACACCCTCCATGCCAGCACTTCCTCCCCTGGCTCCTGGGGCGGGGTGCGGCGGAGCCTCAGTGCATCCGGAGTGGGGCAAGCAGTATGTGAGCCTGAGAGAAGCAGGCACTGTGGGGAGGTCTGGGGTCACCCAGGCTCTCCCAGGTCGATTAAAGGGGCGAGGCAGGTCTGGCAGGGAGGGGTCCCGGCTGCTAGAGCGGGCAGCGGGGAGGCGGAGGCTCCGGACAGTGGATCACTACAGCCCCATGAATCTCACAAAGGTGGGCAGCGGTGGGGAGAGAGCTGCTGAGCAGGCCCGAACAGAGTGGAGCAAGGACCAACTCCTCCCTGCCTCCTCCAAGTCAGGGCTCACCCCTCAGGTGCCTGGGCACCGGCAGAGGCCGGGGTCATGGGTGAGGCAGGAGCTGGATTCTAGGGGGTGGCAGAGAGGCAGGAGGGGGTAGGAGAGACAACCTGCTACCTCTAAGGGGAGGTGGGGCTTTGATTTGAAAAGCTTTAGAATCTGTTTAAGAACCTTCAAGATCTTTGGCTTTGTTGAACAGAGAAACTAGGCTCAGGGAAAGAGGCGAGGTGCCTGCGTAACCCATGAGTCCTAGCTCCCTGCTCTGTGCAGATGTCCCTCCACTCTGGGGCCCCAGCGCACCGGGACAACTGGCCTGGGATTCTGGGTTGCGGGGCCCATCCTGTTGCCCTTGGGAGAAAGAGGCCCTTGGGGGCTCTGAGGGCTCAGGCATGGATTTATCTGAGCCAGCCCTGGGCGCTTGAAGTCAGAACATTGGGAGAAAATAAACACAGGCCAGAGACACCCTGGGTTTAGAGTCAGCTCCTTCCCTGAGGGGCCCCGGGTTAGCCATTCCTTTAGTTATCCATTCGATCAACAAGCCTCTTCCCCCCTGGAGCCTGACGGTACTAATCTGTAAAATGGGGACGTCCACCTCTAAACCCCGCTTCTGGGCACTGGGTGAGAAGCCGGCAAGGTAACGAGGAGAAAGCACACTGCTTTGAATTAGAGACACGCCTGGCACATGGGCTGTCGGGACAGCAGGACAGCCTTCCCATTACTCCTGTTCCCGCTCCAGCCACCACTGAGATCTTGAGGGGCCCTGACCCTCCCCAGACTGAGCAGCCCAGTGAGAAGCCCAGGAGATCGACTCCAATCTAGCAAGCAGTAGGCTCTGGGTAGCACTGGTTCTGAGCAGATCGATGCTTGCCGTTTACCAGTAAGGGGCTGGTGGGGGGTGGGGGTCTTGTCTCTGTGGTGGAGAGGCAGAGGCAGGGGGCTCTGAGGGCAGGGGAAAAGTGGGGAGACCCTGGAGGGGAAAGCAGAGCGGGGGTACGCTGCTGGAAGGGGCGCTGGGACTGAAGGTCCCTGAGGGATGGGGGCTTGGGGGATTCAGAGAGATAAGTTGGGCCTGGAGGGTTTGCCAACTCCCCAAGTATCCTCAGTGTGCAAGGCCAGCTATAATTTTCGAGTCAGAGATTCAAGCTGCAGGGAAGATGCCCAGGACTGATGAAATCCAGCTCAGAATGAGGGAAAAGGAAAGTGGGAAAAGGGGGCCTCGGGTCACCCTCAGCTCAACCTTTTTGGCCTGGGCAACCAGTAAGTGAACCCGCCAGAGGCTGGGATGACCAGGGAGCAGTGGGCGCCCCCCAGTGGCCGGCTGCGGATAAAGGCGCAGGTGCTTGGGAAAGAAAGCGACATTGTTATTTGTTCCACCAACTCCAAATTCCACGTTTATTTAGGAGCCCAGTTTATTTTTATCCTCACTGCATTCTTTTACATGAGATCACTGTAACTCAAGATAAGAATTAAGATCCCAAGGATTCAGTGACACTCTCTCATAAGCCATCCAGACCCTCCCCACCTGGCGTCTTTACCCCAGATGTCACCAGCCCTCAGGCTGTCACTGGGCAACATCCACCCATGACATCATCTTCAGAGGAAGAGAGAGTGGAGAAGAGGAGAGGGGGAGGGAGAGGGAAGAAGAGAGAGGAAGGGGAGGAAGTAGAGGGGAGAACAGAGCTGCGAGCTACAGAGAAGAGAGGACCTGCTGTGAGGACCCGGAGTTCAGGACCTGGCTCCCTTTCCCCAGAGACGGGGAGGCTGGACAAGGCTCCTCCCCTGGGGACCTGAGAGACCTCACAGGTGCGCCCCCATCCATTGCCTGGGCAGAGGTGGTGGCTGAGCACCAACTCAGGGAGTACAGAGGACCTTGGGGCTAGATCGCAGTGAGGTCCGCAGGCAGGGCAAGGGGAGGG